CCGGGGGTACAGGCAGAGGTACAGGCAGGGATTTAGGGGGGATAACCCCGAAGTACAGGCAGAGGTACAGGCAGGGGTGCACAGACGGTTGCGGGCAGGGGGTCACCCCCTCACCCCCCCTACCTCCAAAGCCGCCCCTCCTCCCTCCCTCCCTCCCTCCCTCTCCCTCCCTCCATTCCCCTTCCTACCGGGGGTGACGGCGGCGGCGACCCCCAAAAGTCCCCCGAGCAGCGGGGCCAGGAGCCCCCAAAAACTGCCGCCCATCCCCGCGCCCCGAGGCCGCAGTTGGGACGGGGAGGCCCCAACGCGTGACTCCCCCAAACCCTCCCAAAAAAACTCTTCCCCAAAGCCCCCGAAAACCTCCTCCCAAACCCCCCCTGGAGGCGCTGACCAATGGGAGCGCTCTGTGGGCGCCGCGTCACTTGTTGCCGGGTGGAGAAGCCTCAAGGCGAGCGCGGTCGAGGTGACAGAGCCGCGGAGTCGCCGAGGGGGTCACGGGAGGACCCCCGCGACGTCCCCCCGCGTGTCAGGAGGGAGGACAAAGCTTTGGGGACCCCCCTCAAGTTGGGGGACCCCCCCCAAGCTTAGCGTGGTGACGTCACGGTGGTTAATTAAGCGGTGTCGTGATAATTAGGGGGCGCCGAGGGGTGCGCGGGGGTTCGGGAGGGACCCCTGGAATACCGTGGACACCCGTGGGGTCACCTCAGGCCCCCTCAATCCCCCCGTGAGCGCCCTCCACACCTCGCACCTCACCTGACCCCCCCCACGGGTGCCAGTGGGGCACTCCTGGGATGTCGTGGACACCCGTGGGGGTCACCCCGGAATACTCGGGAGCCCAAATTACCCCGTGGGTGCCCCAAGGGACCCCCGCGGGTGCCCCCCCCCCCCCCCCCCCCCCCCCCTGCCCCCCCCCCAGACCCCCGCGCGCCCCCCCGGGGACATCGGGGCCCCCCCCCCCACCCGTCGGGGTGTCCCCCACACCCCTCCCACCTCTCCTGACACCCCTCCCCCCTCCCAGATCCCGGCGCTGCCCCCCTGGAATGTCGCGGACTCCCGTGGAACCCCCCCTGGAATGTCGTGGAACCGCCCCGGCCCCCCCCCCCCACGAGACCCCCGTGGGTCCCCCCGCACCGCTGCAGCGGGGCCGCATTGCGCACGCGCGGGGCACTAAGACCCCGCGGAGCCCCTCGGGGGGGGCCCCATGAATGTGGGCCCGTGGGGGCCGCGGGGGGGGGGGGCACGTGACCGCGGGCGGCCAATCGCGGCGCGGGTGACGTAGCGCGTGGCTCCCTTTTTCTGCCCCGGGATGGTTTTTTTTCACCTTTTTTGCCCCCAAAACGGGGCTTTTCGGGGCGGGAGGGGCGCGGATGAAGCGGGGCCGGGCGCGGGGGTCGCGGCCAGGCGCGGGGGCCCCTCAGGTGAGTGATTTTCGGGGAAGTTTTTTTTTTGGGGGGGGGGGGGCGGCCTCGCCCTGCCCCCCTCCCCGACGGTGAGGGGCGGGGGAGGTCACGTGGGGGCGGTGAGCTGTCAATCAAGCGATGTCCCGCCCCTCAGGCCTCACTTCAACCAATGGGAGGTGCGGGTCGCCTTGATTGACGGCTGGGGGGCCCGGCTTTGTGCGCGCGGCGGGGGCGGCGGTTTGGGGCGAAAAGCGCCATGTTTGGGTGTTCGCGCGGGGGCGGCGGCGGCGGGCGCGGCCCCAAGTGCTGTGTCACGGCGTTGGGGGGGGGGGGGGGGGGGGGGGGGGGGGGCAGGGGGCCCGGGGGGTTGCGGGGTGAGGGGGGGGGGGGGGATGGAGGGGAGAGGTTTATCGCGGCTTAACCCGGGCTGGCGGCCACGGCAGCGGCGCGTCCGTGGGGGTTGTGGTGTCCCGCGTGTGACCAGGGAGGCGTTGGCGACCCTCCGGGAACCCGTGGAGAGCGGGGGGCGCGGGGGCTGCGCGGTGCGTGGCGCGTTGGGGGGGGGGCGGGTGGCGGTGCGCCGGTCAAGCGAATGTTAAGGAGTTCGCGAGCGCCGCGAGGGGGGTGAGGGCGGAATGGGGGGGTCCCCATGGTGCTCGGTGGAGCGGAGGAGAGGGGGGACGCGGAGAGGCCGTCCGGGAGGGCCGCGCTCATTGTCCGCCAGCCCACTCGCGGCCGCCGCCGCCATTCAAGATGGCGGCAGTTCTTTCCCCCCCCTCCCCTCAGCGCCAACCGCCGCCCTTCCTCCCGCCCACCGCGCTGCCCCTCGGCCAACCAGCGAGCGGCGGGCGGCGGCGCCGACCAATGGGCGCCGAGGGCGCCGCCCGCTCTCAGTGAAGGCGCCGGGCGGAAAAGCCGCGCGGGGAGGCGGGGCCGCACGGGGGGAGGTAGGGGTGATTGACGCGCCGGTCCGCCAATGAGAGCGCGGTGTTGGAAGTGCCACCGCCCAATGAGGCTACGGTTGGGCGGGGAGGGGCGGGTTCATGACGTCAGCGGTGCCGGCGGCCAATGGGGAGGCCGGTCGCGTCTATATAAGGGCGGGCGGGGGCAGGCCGAGCGGCGCCATTTCGCGGTGGACGAGGGGACGGAGCTGGTCGGGCCGCGGCAGAGAGAGCGAGCGAGAGAGAGCGCGCAGAGGGGCGGCCCCTTCAAAAAAAAAAAAAGCAACCAACCTCTCTCGGCTCCATCCCCCCGGAGGAGCTCCGAGGGGGGGAAACCCTCCCCGGCCTCCGCAGCGACCCCTGCCTGCGGCCACCGGCGGCGAGCGGCCGCCTCCTCGTCCTCCTCCTCCTTCCCCCCCCCTCCACCTCCCTCAGCGAGCCAAGATGGAGCGCGGCCGCTGATCCCGTCGATCCGCCGTCATCCGCCGGCCTCCCCGCGGCTCAGCGCCTCGTCTGCGGTCCTTGCGGGTGCTCCGGGCTCCGAGCGACTCGCCGAGGGTTGTATCGAGCGCGTCGCGAAGGGTTTGTGCCTCCCGGTGAAGCTCCGAAGAGGGGACCCCCCTCTCCCCTCCAGTACCCCCCCGTTGCATCCCCTCAGCGCTCGCCGCCATTTTCGCCGCGCCCGTGGATGTTGAGGCCGTGGGAGGGTCCCGGCATCGTCTCCTGAGGGAAAATTAATTAGATAGAGGAAAGGGGGGGGCTCCTGGCTCGCCTCCCGACCCCCTCCCCGTCCTCATCCCGCCGGGGATGCGCTGACGGGGGGGGGCCCCCACCGGGCCGCGAGCGGCGGAGCTTTGGCCGGGCAAAGTGGGGGGGTCGTCGGAGGAGACGGCGGGAGGAGGAGGAGGAGGAGGAGGAAGAGGAGACGAGGGCCCGCGGGCCGCGCACGGAGCCGTCGGGATGTTGCAGAATGTGAATCCCCAGAGCAAGTAGGTGCTTTGTGCGGGGGGGGACTAGAGGGGTTTTGGGGTGGGAAGGGCGTGTTTTGGGGTTTCGCGGAGGAGGGGGAGGGTGCGTTGTGGGGTTGGGGCTTGGTGTTGGCAAGGTTGTGAGGTGGCACTGCGGGACCCCCGCGCAGTGGAACCCCCACATTGTGTCACTGTGGGATCCCCACAAGGTGGGACCCCCCCACCTTGTGACACTGTGGGAGCCCCCCACTGTTACATTGTCATTGTGGGACCCCAACACAGTGGGACCCCCACAGGGTGGGACCCCACCTTGTGACACTGTGGGATACCCATGCAGTGGGACCCCCGTACTGTGACAGTGTCACTGTGGGACCCTCACCTTGTGACAGTCTGGGA